GGCGGACAGGCGGACGGACAGGCGGGTGGACAGATGAACAGACAGGCGGAAGGACAGCCGGACGGACAGGCAGACGGACAGGCGGGTGGACAGACGGACAGACAGGCAGAGGGACAGGCGGACAGACAGGCGAACGGACAGGAGGACAGACAGATGGACAGACACGCGGACAGACAGGCGGAAGGACAGACAGGCGGAGGGACAGGCGGACAGATGGACAGACGGACAGGACAGGCGGACAGACAGGCGGAGGGACAGGCGGACAGACAGGTGGACGGACAGGCGGACAGACACACAGACAGGTGGACAGACAGACGGACAGGCAGACAGACGGACAGACAGGCAGACAGACAGGCGGACAGGTGAACAGACACACGGACAGACAGACAGGTGAACAGATACACGGACACACAGACGGGCGGACAGACGGACGGGGGAGAGAAGAGCGTGAGCTTCCAGGTTTGTGTTGTTTTTTGATTTTCATTTCATTTTTTAAGTTTTTTTTTCGAGACAGAGTCTGGCTCTGTCGCCCGGGCTGGAGTGAGCGCCGTGGCGTCGGCCTCGCTCACGGCAGCCTCCCAATCGATCCTCCCGCCTCGGCCTCCCTCCCGAGTAGCTGGGACTGCAGGCACGCGCCTCCACGCCCGGCCTTGTTTTTTTTCTTTTTTCTTAAGCACGTATTCACGTGCAAGCAGCGCGTTCACAAGGAGCCGTCAGGAGGCGAGAGCGACGCCGGCTAGAAATGAAAGAGGCACCGCTGGGCCGGCGCGGAGGCTCGCACCTGTCGTCCCGGCGCCATGGGAGGCCGAGGCGGGAGGATCGCTCGAGGTCAGGGGTTTGAGACCAGCCTGAGCAAGAGCCAGACCCCGTCTCTACTAAAGATAGAAAGAAATTAGCCAACTAATATATATATATAGCCGACTAATATATACATAGAATAAATTAATCAATAAAATTGATTTAAAAATTAATTTTTAAATCAATTTTAAAAAATTAATTTAAAGAAAGGGGGGCGGGGGGGACACGGGTAACATAAGTAACCTTAACACTTGTCCCCCCGTTACTCGAAGGGGCTGCCCACCGTCGGCCCCGCCCCGCGACCACGCACAGCCACACGGTTGCCGTGCAGACCCTGCCCTGCGTAGCCATGGCGACCGTCGCTAGGGCTTTGAGGGCGCGGATGCCCGGCCGTCCCGGGAAGGACGAGACTGCCCGCCGCCTGCCCCTCCCCACGACAACACAACCACACGGTTGCCATGCACGCTCTACTCTGCGTAACCATGGCGACCGTCGCTAGGGCCCGTTTTCTCTGGCCGGGCTTTGACGGCACCGATGCTTGGTCGTCCACGACCACGCACAACCA